GTGAGAACATAAGGCCTCTGGGTTCATTCTGACACTGAATGAAAAACTTGCCAATGATTTGTCCAATGTCATTAATATGTGAACAGACATCTGTTATTTCAGAATTCACAACTCAGGGGTTTTTGGGGGAGGATCTTCCCCATCCTCTTCACTCTCAGAGACTTCTCCCTACCCCCTTTCATATTTCCCACCTGTCATGGGCCAGGTCTCTCAAGCTGACTCACAGTTTTGAGTTTGGGGATGGGGAGCAGGAAAGAGGGCTCAGAAAACTCAAGGGGATGGGGGGAGAAGGGGAACAAGAACAGAACCAGCTATAAGGATCCACCGGTCCCTTCTCCCTAACTTCTCCTACAGAGAGAAAGGAATAAGCATTTATATAATTGCTGTGTGCCAGGCATTGTGCTAAGTGTAGACACACACACACACACACACAACACACACACACACACACACATAAAACCTCATTTGATCCTTACAACAACCCAGCAAGCTAAGTGCTATTTTTAGCCACATTTTATAATCGAGGAAACTGAGGCAAATAGGTTAAATGATGTGCCCTGGGTCACACAAGCCAGTCTCCGAGGCCGGATTTGAACTCTGGACTTCCAGACTCCAGACCCAGCATTCTATCCATTTCTCAACAGCTGCTTCTGGAACAGACAGTGTTTTCCACTCAATGTTCCCCACCTAAGTTCTGCCTGATGCCATTTTCCCAGATGTACCCCCAGACAAGAGCAGCAGCTCTGTGGCATGGGACTCAGGGGGCTCGGGGAAGGTATTTCTCACCTCTCTTATTCACTTTCATAGGAGCATAGATCTAGGACTGGAGGAAACCTCAAAGGCCTTCTAGTTCAGCCCCCTCATTTTATTTTAAAAAAAAATTTTAGGCAATTGGAGTTAAGTGACTTGCCCAGGGTCATATAGCTAGTAAGTGTCAAGTGTTTGGTCTGAGGCCAAATTTGAATTCAGGTCCTCCTGACTTCAGGGCCGGTACTGTATCCACTGTGCCACCTCACTGCCCCTCCCCCCTCATTTTATAGATGAGGAAATTGAAGTTCAGAAGGTTAACCTAGGGTGGAAGAGGTAGTCAGCATCAGAGGTGAGATTTGAACCCATGGCCTAAGACTCCAGAGCAAAGGCTCTTTCCACTGTACCAGCCTTCCTGTCTCTCTCTGGGCTTCTTTCATCTGCAAAAGTGAACTGGATGACTTCTGAGGTCTCTCCTAATTCTAAATCCGTGGTCCTGAAATGATCCATCCTTCTTCCAGCCTGGACCTGGACCACTAGAGAAATAAGCTGAATGTGTGGTACCATGACAACAAGGGGAGCACCCAGCAGGACAGCTGGAAACACCGAGTAACAAAGACGGTCTGGGGTCAGGAGTCAGGGGCTCTGGGCCTTGTCCCCGGGAAGCAGCAAGGCCTGCAAACCTCAGACTATCCGCTTGGGTCAGATCTGAGAACAAGTCAACACTCTCTCATCAGCCTTCTCTGGGAAGTCTCTTCTGTCGGTCCTTCACAGTATTACCTCACTAATAAGTCAGTATTACAATATTTCCTCTGCATTTCTGAGTAGGTGGTTTTGTCCCATGTGTCAAAGCTGGTGGGGCAGGGGAGGGGGTGTGGTTGAGGAACCAGTCTTTTCTAACAGAGGAGTTTCCCAGGGCTGCCTGCCTTCTGCCCAATTCATCTCCAGCTCCCCCCCCCCCATTTTGCTTCCTCCCTCCTAATGCAAGTCGAGCGTCTCAGAGGTTCAAAAACAGTGGCAGCTTCTCCGGAGTCTGATTAGCTGTTTACTTCATTAAATGATTAACTGAGGAGACATTGTTTCCACAAGGATGCCTAATTTGTGGGGAAAGCAGAAGCTGAACCAGGCCCTGGTGCTTCCTCCTGATCCTAGGTGACAGGGTTCCCCACCTCCTGTCTGGGGGTGGGGGGTGGTCAGAGCAGCAAGAGAGAACTGGCCCCGCCCCCATTCTCACACACTATCCCCACCTCCTCACCCATCTGTCTGCCCTCTCACCCCCAACCTCAGAGGATATCAGGCATCCCGGGTGTAAAGGACGATACGAAATCCATTTCCGGATGGCAACATTGAAAATGCATTAAATGTTGGTGTTTTGCCCCCCAGCGGTTTTATCTTCCTAATTATGTTTTTTAGGCCGACATTGAAATTTTAAGTTTGCTTCTCCTGGATGCAAACTATTGGGGTGGGAGGGGTGGGAGGGGTGGGAAAGGGAGAGGTGGATGGAGAGGGAGGGAAGATCACCTGGGTTAGCAGGCCAGTAAAACCAATCTTTTATTACTTCCTTTGTGGCCACAAAGCAGAAAACTGTATTCCCTCTTACCTCCAGAGAACATCCCAGGTATGAGTCCATAGGGTGGTCAGTGGATAAATTTTCAGTCACACAACCCGGGCAGCAACATTGCAGCCAGGTCTAGAACCCAACCTTCATCTACACTGGTGGGGACAGGGTGGCAGCGAGATAGAAGCCTACCCCTTTTAGCCCACTCGATAGCTGTCTTGGACTCCTGAGTCTTTGCAGTGTTTCTGCAACCGCATCTGACACCATGTCTACGTTTATGGGGGCTGGCTTTTCATTAATGCAGAAGCTAGCCCCTGAGAGTCAGGGGCAGATGAATAGAAATTTCCTTTCTTTGGGATAGGGTGGGGAGAATTATTATTATTATTATTATTGGCTAGGCAATGTGGTTAAGTGACTTGCCCAGGATCACACAGCTAGTAGGTGTCAAGTGTCTGAATCCAGATTTGAACTCAGGTCCTCCTGACTCCAGGGCCAATACTCTATTGGAGAATTATTTAAAAGACAAATTTCAGAGCAGATTCCCAGGGAGAAATCCTAACAAAAAGGGCATAGGCTAATAACTAGAAGGGGAATGGGATACATGCAAGTTTAGGGCCCTGGGCTCCCTTGGGGGAGTGGGGGGAAGCTGAGAATGCTAGTGTGGAAGACAGGGTAGGATGGGGTCTGTAGGTAAGAAAGTGGGGTGTCTCTGGGTGCTAGACCTTTCTCTGCTTAGGAAAGCTGACCCTGTGTGGGCCTGTTCTCATTTCCCTGTTATTAGGAACTAGACCTGGGCTGGGGGTTGGGGATGGAAATAAGGAATTTCCCTCTCAAAACAATAGAGACTTAATACTCCCAAGAAGAGGATTAGTAGAACCGACATCAATGCAGCTGTGACTTTTTAGTGTATACAATTATCCAGCCTTTTGCCATTTCTTTTGCCAAGAGAAAATTCTCCTCTTATTTCCCAGAAGTTCAACATAGTTCTTTCCCCACCCTCCCTTCGCTAGTTGCTATCCTTGGCACCAGGGCCAGGGAGCAAAGGTGGACAGAGTGCAACCCAACACCTAACAAAACACACAAGATATCACTTTGCTGGGTCTTATAATAACAGTCCCTTCCCCCTGGCTTCCCTCTTCTACCCTAGGACTCTCCAACCTAATAGGGATGAATTAGAAAAAAAAAAGATTAGAAGACCTGGATTCAAATCCTGTCTATGAACTAGAATAACTTGCTACCTTATGAGACCCTGGGCAAGAGAAAAATCTCTTTGAGCCACGGTTTCATTATCTATACACAGCTATGTAAAGCATTTATTTATTTATTAAGTGTTCTCTATGTATCAGGCACTCTGCTACAAAATCTATTAAATGAGAGTAGAATAAAATCTCTCTAGCTCCAAATTCTATCATCCTATGAACCTTAAAACTGATTTAACCTCGCCCAGCCCAGACCTTAGAACTGTTTCCCCTTAACTCAAGAGAGCTCAGAAATGGCCAGATCCCCCAAACCAGCTAATGGTATCACAGGTTTTCCTAATTCTCTGAACCTGCTATGTTGAAATGAAATATAAGTGATTTTTATTCTCCTGTCTATGATAACCAAAATTTGGAACCTGGGTGTTGAGTGAGAGAGAGAATCCAAGACCATAAGGATGAGAGTCAAAGATTCTGGGGAGAGGTGCGCACTCTCACCCCTCGACAAGTGAGGCTCCTGAACAGGCAATGGCAAAGAAGTTAGTTGGATTTGTAGCTCATGACTACATAACTTGAAATCAGGCCTGGCTGCCTGGAAGTGGTGGTTATCTCGAGGGACCCAGTTGTGTATTGTGCTCTTATCACGGGAAGGGGTCATCTGCCTAGCTTTTTCTTCCCGATCCAAGACCAGGGGAAATGCCAGAGTGGCAGTGTCAGCCCACTTTTGCCGGAGAACTTCCTTTTCCTATGGAGGTGGTAAATGGGGCCAGAGGGAGCGGAGGAGCAGACTACTTTTGCCAATACATATTAATGTCCTAAAATCTCTGTGGTCCCTTCAAATATTAGAAAGTCCTAGCTGAGGTCTAATTTCCATTGCTCAACCTCTAAGATTCTTCTCATTTGTGGTAGCCTCAAACAACAGCAAGTCCTACCTGGCACCGAACTTCCATCCCTCTAGCTTCTTTCTGTAGATTTAAAAAATGCAATGAACTGAACTACAGCCACTTTCCATGGACATGGGTTTTATTAGTCTCCTGTTGGTAGAGAAAGGCAGCAGGGGAAGGAAACTGGATGGGGACATATCCTTTGTCCTGAATTTAGTGCATGTGGCCTGGAGTTAGGGGGTCAGAAAACAGCAGCAGAAGCAGATGCGGTGATGGGAATGGAGGTGAGGGTGGCTCTGGGACCAACAGGGGCATGATATGAATATTGGGGGAGGTGCAGGAAGATTACCTTCACCCAAGGATTTAGCCACTCCTCATCTCCCTCATGTTCATGTATGTATATGTTCTGTAGACATGCCTGTGCCCATGCACACATGCCTCTGGGCTCACCCTTAGGACTACGTGTGGCATGTGCCCAGATCATATAATCATCAGGGACCCTCCCAGCCTCCGCAGAGTTCTATAAGTAAGAGAGAGGGAAGGTAGGAGGTGTTGGGCATAAAAGTCCCACCCACCCACCCACCCATCCCTGTGCCAGGTTAAACTAGATTATCAGGGTGAGTCCTGGGGGGGGGGAAGGTGTCATGGGTGAGCTTGACCCCCCCCCCAGCACTCCCCCTCGGGCTCAGCTGGGTGTCTGGGGCTGTCCTCTCTGATCCCCTCACATGACGCTGCAGCTCTTGGCTCGGTCCTTGCGAATCTCTGCCTCAGCCCCCTTGTCCGACCTCCCAGGCAGCTGTGCTGACCTCTGTAGGCCTCTCCTCGAATCACTTCGACGAAGCTGCCTGTGGCCACGACCAAGGGAGGCCACAGTGGCCACATGGAACACATCTCGGACACTGCGCTCAGATGACCGGGATGAACACTCAACATAAGACACAGCCCCTACCTGCCGGGCAAGGACGCTGCCCTGGGACAGAGGGAAGCACAGAGATCATCGTAGCTGGGGGAGCAATCTCACAGCAATCCCACCCCCCTGACAACCCCCAGCACATTGCACTTGTGTGGCATGGGGGTAGAGAGGTGCTGAGGAGAGTAGGGAATGAGACCGTGGCCAGATCAAGGAAGAGTGGGGAGAGGAAATCAAAGGGTCTGAGGTATGGGATACAGGCTGGACCAGGATCAAAGGTTAAGCTGGGTCAGAGGGCAAGGGCTAGGACTGCACCTGCTCATGTGTGACAGGGATGAGCCGCTGTTTGGAGAGCTCCCTCAGTGTGGCTAGGTCTGTCCTCATGTCCAGTTTACACCCGACCAGAACAACCTTAGCATTAGGACAGAACTCCTGGGTCTCCCCTTGCCACTGGTGGAGTAAAGAATAGGTTTGTTTCAGGGAAGGGGGTGGGAGGCACAGGGAGTGATCTTCCCCCCCATCTTCACTCTCTGACTTCAGGAGTTAGGATCACTGGGCCGATTCTGCATTCGAAGGCAGAGAGGTGGTGGGAGCCAGAGTCGTGGGAACCTTCTAAGCGGAGTGTGAGAATGGAAGAGTCAGGATGGAGCGAAAGGCTTAAAAACTTGGGGCTTCTCACTCGTCTTTCCTCAGGGGAGGTGCTGACCTCCACCAGGGTTAAGGAATTACTTCTTTCCCAAACTTTCCCTGGGAACTGACTAATTCAGAACCCCACCCCCACCTCCTCCCAGGAACCCAGCAGGCCAAGAGCCCACTTCTTTCCTCTATTCACCACAAACTTTTCTCATGGAAATCAGGTCCTGGGGAGAAGGCAGCTGGGGAGCAGGGCTTTCCCAGCCCCACCCCCTAAGCTGAGGGAGCTCCCAAACTCCCACAGAGAACAGGCTGGGGCTAGGGGAGAACCAAATGCTGGCTCTGGATTAATTTCAGGGAAGGAGCAGAGAATGTCTGGGCACAGCTGGCTAGGCTAGACAACCCAGAAGTGACTTTCTTATTCCCCAGAGCACAGGAGTCTGCCCTAATGATGCTAGGATACTCAGGCTTCCTAAGGGAGGGAACCCAGATTTTTTCCACAACCGTTCCCACCTTCTTGAGCACACTGTCAAGTGTCTCCGGCCTGCTGATATCAAAGCAGATAAGGACAGCATCAGAGTCTGGGTAGGCCAGTGGTCGGACATTGTCATAATAGGAGGAACCTGGGGGAGAGAGAGAAACAAGGGGTCCAGAGCTGGTAAGAGAAGGCCTAGAAGGTAAGTGGGGGAAGATTGGTTATCGGGGGAATGGGCAGTGGGACCAAAGTAGAGGAAAAGGAGTCTCGGCCAAAGAAGAGACTCTCCTCCCTTTCCTCCCCAGTCCCCTACTCCAATATAAATACAAAGGATGGGAAAATACCAAAGATCAATAAGTAATAATGTTAAATAGCCCTTGAATTGTCCTTCATGACAAGAGGGTAGAGGGCAGGGGAAGGTTGGGAGGGGAAGCAAGTAAGGAAGTCAGATCCCAATAAGAACTTTTCAATTATTATGGGATAGTGTTCTGGACAATCTGGGCAAGCCCCTGACCCCCAAACTCTCTAATTAAGAGACTTTTTCAAGCTTGATCTCATCTCAAAAGAAAAAGGTTGCAAAAATAAAAATCACTCCCTTCCCTTAAGTTCCACAGACATATACCCCTGATATCTTGCATCTTCTTGGGCATGGGCTCAGCCTAAGTCTAGAATGTTTCCTCACTATGCCTCCTGACTTGGTTTCCCCTTTGGACAGACAAGATCCTACCCCATCTTTACACCTTCCCCCCCAGGCCTTGAAGCTTTATAAGGGAACGAATGGAACTAGCAGAGTGTGTGTGTGTGGGGGGGTGGAGAAATGCCCTTTGGGGATGGAACTGTTCTGTGGACATTTGGGGTCTCCTAGGATCTGAGCTCGCTGGCGCTAGAGTGGAGGCCTGGGCTTTGGAATGGTGTCAGGTTCTTTAGAGATGGTAGGAGAGGGAGTTACCTGAAGTGTCCCACATGTTGAGCTCTATGCGGCGCTTGTCGATCTCAAAGCTGGCTGTGTAGTTCTCAAATACGGTAGGGACATAACTCTGCGGACAGGAGGCACTGGGTCACGCTGAGGACCCTTTCCCCCTCTCCCCTACCATACTCGGGCCACATTTCCTCCCCTCCCACTCATCTCGAGGAAGGACCTGGACACGGGATCGCCCAGGGATTTTTTGGGGGGTTGGGGGTGGGGGGAGGCAGAAGGGTTGGGAGGACTCTAGGAACTGCCTAGGAGGGAGGAAGCGGAGAGCCCCTACATGGTCCCCCTCCCCTGCAACCCCCATTCTTTTTCTTCCTTGGCTCCCCAGATAGTGACTGTCTTCCTCTGGCTCTCCCCCGGGTGCCCTAAACCTCAAGATCAAAGCCCTGTCCCTCGGCCCCCAGTCCTCCCAGCCCCCACCCCGTTGCCTGAACCCCCAGCCCGGATCATTCCAGCTTGCAGACTTCCCCTTGGCACCCCCGCGGCCCCCTAGTGCCCAGCTGCCCAGCTCCAAGCCTCCCGGGAGTGCATCCCCCGGGTCCCCAGCCCCTCACCCCGGGGTAGGCGTCCTTGGCGAACACCTGCAGCAGCGCCGTCTTGCCGCACTCCGCGTCCCCCACCACCACGATCTTGCAACGGCCGCTCTGCCCCTCCATGGTCTCAGCTACGCGCCAGCCAGGGCCCCCCGTCCGGGCCCCGCCGCCGCCGCCGCCGCTGCAGCCGCCGCTCCGGCCGTAGACACCGGCATCTCCCGGGCCCGCGCCGAGCCCCCGCCCCGGGCAGCCACCCCCCGCCTCCCCCCGGCCTCCGCCCCCCTGCCCGGGAACCGCGCCCCCGGCCCCGCCTCCCACCCCAGCGCAACGGGGAGGGGCTGGGACCGGAGGGGCGGGGCCAGGGGCAGGAGGTGCCTGCAGATTTGGGGGTGGGTGGGACTTATTAGGGAGCTTCTTCCTCGGGGAGGGGGTGGCCTGGGGAATGGGCGGTGAGACCCGGAGAAGTTTTCTTGGGGTTACTGATCTGCGTCTTACACGGGTTAAGTGCCCTTCTCCAACCAAGCGCGTGCATCCACGTGTGCATGCAACAGTCCACCTCAGGACCTGCGGGGTCCGGGGGGAAGGGAGGGCGGTCCTCAATTCTTTCTCGCCAGGAGGAGCGAATAAGAGAACTCTTCTCTCTAAGCTGGGGGACAGGTTTTGAGGATCAGTAACGGACAGCCGCGGCGCCTGAAGGCGCGGGGCAGCGGTGGTGACATCACGGTCAACTCCTCGGCGGTGGGGCGGGGGCAGGAGGTGGGGTCCTAGGGGAGAGTAGTGGTGACTGCACATTGAGCCTGGGATGCCGCGGGAATAGCTCGGTCGCTCACTCCCTGCAACGAGCTCAGGTGGAAAATTTTGGAGAGCGGCGCCCTCTGGTGGTGAGTTTGAGGAGAGGCGAAGGAAGAAGAATTCTGTTTTGGTGCAACATCTGGTGAATTCAGCCACATCTGGCTAGGCTTGGAATCCTGTCTGGGCCTCATCAGGGCCTAATTATAATGCCGACTAAATATAATAGTTACCCCACAGAGGTATCTGCGGCATAGTGGAAAGAGAAAGAGGCTTCGAGTCAAGGAAATCAAGATCTGAGTCCAGTCTTTGCCCCTCCCTGGCCCTGTGACTTTCAACAAGTTATTTTCACCCTTTTCAGTCTTAGTACTTTCACTCGTTAAACAGAGGTGATATTACTTACACCTTGGTGTAAGTGACTACCTAACAGGATTGTGAGGAAAGTAACATGAAGTCCCACATCCAAGTGAACTTTTATTATTCTGAAGAGCAGTGTGGTCTTAGAACCAGTACTGAACTGGGAGTCAGAAAACCCAGGTGCTCTAAATCCTGGCTCTGTCACTAACTAGCCGCGTGACCTTGGACAATCACTTAACCTCTCTGAGCCTCCATTTCCTCATCTACAAGATACAGGTATTCAAGTAGGTGATCTATCATTAATGTCCTTTCTAGCACTAATGATTTTATTTTGATGATTTTAATTATTTTACTTTTCCAAAGCACTTTCAGATCCTATTTTCATTTACTGAAATGTAACCTTATAGGGCACATATTATTTATTATGTATATGGAAGGCACTACTTTCTCACCTCTGTCTTTCATAATTTCTGGCTTCCTTCAGGGCCTAGCTCTCACGTTACCTCCTACAGTGCCTTGCCCCAAATTTCTTCATGATATATACAACACATATATACATACATACACACGTACACTTAAAAAAAAAACTAATTCATATACATGTTTCTCTCCAATAAAATAAAAGCTACGTGACTGCAGAGACTGACTTTTTTTTTAAATCTTTGTATCTGCACAAATTTTATACAAACTTGTTGAATTAATGAATGCATAATGAATTAATTTCCATTTTGGAGACAAGAAAATCAAGGCACAGGAGAGGAAGATAAAACTTATTTGTCTAAAGCAGGCCTACACAACCTTCGACCCAAGGGCTACATGATTTGAGGGCTGTCTGAAATCCTTTGGCAGGCCACAGTTTGTGCAGGCCTGGTCTAAAGTCATATAACTATGCAGCCACTTCCCTTTGCCCTATGCATCCCTATATTACATTACCCCACTAGCAGCCCAATATAGTTTTTCTACTAGACAACACTAAATTTTGCCTGGACTCATAACAAATAAAATCAATCACATCTTTGTTGGGTTGAGGCTCCAGGTGGGGAAGGCCTGGGTTCAGTTCTAGGGCCTACAGGGGTGGGGAACCTTAGGCTTTGAGGCCACCTGTGGCCCTCTAGGTCCTCAAGTGTGGCCCTTTGACTAAAACCAAAGTTCACAGAACAAATCCTTTAATAAAAGGATTTGTTTTGTAAAACTTGGACTCAGTCAAAAAGCTGCACTTGAGGACCTAGAGGGCCATACATTGCCTTGAAGCTGCAGGTTCCTAACCCCTGGTAGGATTTTCTTCCTGCAAGGTTTGGCAAATACTCTCATGCCCCTCGAAAGCCTAGAATTATGTATGTGAGCATCAGCAAGTGTTTATTAAGTCTGTACTACTAAGCCAGGTGCTATGCTAGGCACTATAGGTACGAATACCTGAATGAAAAAGTGACTGCCTTCAAGTTTAAGTTGGGGCTAGGTACAACAAATACACAATTAAGAAAATAAAAAAAATATGCATATAATCATTTCAAGGTAATTTGGGCAGGCACTAACTACTAACAGCTGGTAGAATCTGAAAGGTCTCTGGTAGAAAGTGGCCTTTGAGCTGAACTTTGAAAGAAAGTAGTGTCCTTTTGAAGCATAAGGCTCTTAATCTGGGGTCCAGAAATTTTTTTTAATATGTTTGGATAACTATTTCAATCTATATTGTAATCCATATGTATTTTATTTTATGCATTTAAATGTATTATTTGAAGAAAAGCTCCATGGGCATCACCAAACTGACAAAAAAGCTCCATGCCAAAGAATGGTTAAGAATCTCTTTTTTAAAAAAATATTTATATTTATTTCATTAAATATTTCCCAACTATAAGTAAAAAATGTAAATATTCGTTTTAAAAAATTTTGAGTTCAAATTCTCTCCCGCTCACCCCTTGAGAAGACAAGCAATATAACGATTTTACATGTGAAGTCAGGCAAAACAGATTTCCCTATCAGCCATGTTGCAAAAGAAAACACACACACGCACAAGAAAAATAAAGTGAAAAAAAATATGCTTCAATCTGCATTCAGAGTTCATCAGTTCTCTCTCTGGAGAAGGAAGCGTTTTTCATCGCGGGTCCGTGGGAATTGTCTTGGAGCAGAGTAGCTGTCCTTCCCAGCTGATCATGGTTACAAAGAACCTGTTTTAAAGAAAAACCCCAAAGTGCTATAAGAAATGTAGGGAAGGGATTGCTTCGTTCCTTATATTTTTATCCCCAGCGCCGGGTACATAATGGCACTTAATAAATGTTTGGGGATAGATGTGTTCATTATTGTTAATAAAGACCATTTAAGATTGTTAATCTATCGTGATATTACTAACAAAAATAGATTCTCATCCCTGCCCACTACCCTCAACTTCCCTGAAAGACGCTAACAATGCCCTGCCTTTCTCTCTGTCACCAGAAATCTGTAGTAGAACGTTAGCACTATTAGAACGTAAGCGCTTGGAGGGCAGGGCACTTTTCGTTCTGGCCTAGGCTGGAGTTGAGGCAGAAGCAGGCCAGCCTATTAGTCAATTAGAAATTGACTAGGGTCCTGCGCCTCCAAGCGTCCCTTTAACTCGGCTGCCGGCTCCGCCCCGCGCCGTGCGAGTCTCTGCCTCTTCGGCCCCGCCCCGCGCCCTTCGCCTCGCTTTCCCGTGCTCCCGGAGCTTGTTCCCCATAGCTGTGCAGCCGGGACCGGCGGCGAACGGATGGAGCAGGAGAAAGCCATGTCCGGAGAGGGGGAGGCAGCGGAGGTGGCCATTGCAGCGACGGCCACGGCCGGAGAGGGGGGCGATGCCCTTCCGCAACCCCAAAAGCCCCAGGAGCCCGCTGCTCCGCAGGCGTCGGAGGCGACCAAGGACGAGGTTCCCCCAGAGCGGCCCCCGTTGCGCTGCCTGGTGCTCACCGGCTTTGGTGGCTATGACAAAGTGAAGCTGCAGAGCCGTCCTGCTGCCCCTCCGGCCCCGGGCCCAGGACAGCTGACGGTTCGGGTCCGAGCCTGCGGCCTCAACTTTGCTGACCTCATGATTCGTCAGGGGATATACGACCGCCTGCCGTCGGTGCCCTTCACCCCCGGGATGGAGGGTGCGGGCGTTGTGATTGCGGTAGGAGAGGGAGTCAGCGAGCGCAAGGTGAGCGGGCTCTTGGGGTCTGGAGGGTGTGGGGGGGGCGTTATAGGTATGATAGGCAAGTGGATGGGAGCCGGGGGTGTGGCACTGGGGGAAACTGATTGTGGGTATGGTGCGCTGGTGTGTTTGGGGAAGTGAATTAGTGTAAGACCTGCAGATAGGCCCTCCCTTGTCTTGGGGCTCCTTAGCGGTCCCTGTGGATAAGGAATTCTGGGGTGATTGTTGGGAGGGGGACTCCACCCCATATGTCAGTCCAGTTGCAGCCGCCGCCCTTCGCCAGTGGCTGAAAAACAATAGGGTGGCCTTGCGCATGCGGAGAGTGAGCTACATAGCCAGGTTCCCCCCCCCAAATAAAAGGATTAGCCCCCTATCTCCTTGAATGCGCCACCCCTTTCAACAACAGTCGGGCCTTGGCTGTGTTCGTCCATAGGCAAGGTTTATAGCACCCCATTCCCTGTGAGGGCAAAGGGGTGGGACAGGGATCAACGTTGGTTAAAAGCCAGTGGATTTGGGGGGGGGGGTAGAAGGGAGAGCCAGGGACAGAGTCACATGCACCCCAGTCAGTGGCTGGCGGGGGCGGAGGGAGGGGACTACCTCTCCCTAAGCCTGAGTTAAGGGCCGGACACGCCCACCCTCTGGAAGAGGGAGGGTTGGAATTCTCACCCTACGAGTTACCCCCTCTTCCCTTCCTCCCTTTCGAGGGGCGTTTTCTGCCCCGTAAACTAGCTTGGGATTTGAAGGAGGGTGTGGGGGGAGAAATCTAAGGAGGAAGCATCGAAGGCGGGAGGGGCGTTCAGAGAGGCTCCTTATTCTGTGACCATCCTGTTATCTCTCCTCCCCGTGACTCACATAACCGGCCTGGCTCACTCTGCCGCTGCTGCTGGCTAGGCCGGGCCAAAAACCTCTGAGCATCCTCCCCAGGGAGAAATCAGACAAAGCAGCCCCC